AAGTTGCAGACTGACTTCAGGTCTGGTTTAGATCATTGTTACTTTTAAATTATATATTTTTCTGGTATATATTTGCTGTTTTACATGATTGTTGAATGAAATTAACATAATTATTAATTTATTGTAAAAACATGACAGATAATCTGTGAAACAGATCCAGTTCAGCTGCTGTTTATCTATTAGTTTCTATGGAGGCTGTGAGCTGTTGCCCTGTTAGGTCTCTGTTTCTGCTCCTCCATGCTGTCACAGAGGCTACCAGAGTACGGTATGGGCGGGGCTTAGTCTAGTGATGTTTATATTTAAGTCTATGTTTTATCACATCAACTGTTTTGACTCTGGTTAAGTTCCTAAACATTGTTTTGRCATGCCTTAACTGACCTTTGGCTGGTTATGTCTAAACCATCAATATATCAGCTTTGTTTGTTGTGAGAGCGCTCACCCACACACTATAATATTCATAACTCTTTGTTGCGCTCARCATTCAGCGTTTCCTCCTGAAAAGGCTCTTAAAATCTGGAAATAAATCCGCGTTAGTTTGTTTTGCTGATGAGGTGCGAAAAGACCCAATTTCACAATTTGGAGATAAGCTTCCTGAGCTCTCAAAGCAAGACGGATTGAAAACAATGGGGCTCCAGCTCGCGCTGAGCGATGCAGCGGCGTGTAAATCTGTTCACATCGCRTGCAAAAGTGACTCAACTATGTTAACTATGTTACTATGTCTTTTAGGTGTTACCTTACTGGGGGAACCCTCATGATCGCAAAGTGATTCGCAAATTTTGGAGCCAGGTAAAAACAGTAAAATTACAAAATAAGAAAAAAAGGAAAATCATAATAATAATACATCCCTCTCCAACTTATCTCTTTATTTAGAAAACTCTATACACACAAAACGCACCTTTCCACGTGGTGATAACGAGCTACCAGCTGGTAGTCCAAGATGTCAAGTACTTCCAGAGGGTCAAGTGGCAGTACATGGTTCTGGATGAGGCCCAGGCGCTGAAAAGCAGCTCCAGGTAAAGTGGAAACAGGACTGTTAATGGACCGGGCTGATAATAACATCATTTTTGTGCAAGAAAACTTTAACATTTTTTGGTGCTTTTTTTATCATGTTTTTGTACGTTCATTGCAGTTTAGCTATTTCCGCAAACTCTGTGCTTTTTTAACTGCTGGTTTGTTAAAAATAAAACCATATCAACCGTTTATATATTCATCAGTGAGTTATGGGTTTTGGTTTGTGCCGCTTTTATATTTTTCGCAATATTAATTTTTATTTTGAATACAGTTTCCYACAGAAATCGATTGAGAACTCTTCAATTCTTTCAAAAGGATKGTTTTCTTTGAAATTCGAGTCAGCAATTCAGATTTGTTTGTCCCGTCATTCGATTTGATTTTAGCTGTTGTTCTGCCACTTGTAGCTTTTGGCTCCCGTTTTACAGTTTTTAGCTTCCACCTATAATTTAGTTAGAAGGGTTTTAGCTATGGTTTTGCTAACATTTGCTTTTAGCTGCATTTCCGCTAATTTTAGCTTTATTTATTGTTTTGCAGTGTTTAGCTTTTAGCTCCTGTTTTGCTAATTTCAGCTTAAATGGTACTTGCTTAACTTTAACAAATACTTTTCAGCTTTAGCTTSTTCTACAGTTAATTAATYAATGCTAATTTTTGCGTTTATCCAAACTTTTATTTGTGTTGTTTTGTTTTTTTCTAATCTTTGCTTTTAGCTGCAGTGTAGCTAATGTGAGGATTATCTTCTATTTTTGTTGTGTTTAGATTTTAGCTTCTTTTTTTGTTGTTAATTTTAGCTTATATTCTGTTTGCTTAATAATACGTTTCAGTTTCTACATCAAATCTCAGCATTCAAACACAATTATCAGTGAAATTGTAATTTTCTTTAGTTTTTCTCAACTTTTACTTCAGATAGTTTTGCATGTAGTTCAGCACGATTTAATTTCAGCCCAGAAGGAATAAAAATACAAAGTGAATCTGYTTTATTCTTAGCTGTTTCAAAGGACTGGTCAACATCTTTATGCTCACCCACTTTATAATTTTAGCAGCAGTGCTCACTGGTGATTTTTAGTTTCCTTTCCTCGTTAAGTAGTGGGTGTAATAATTAATTATTGACGGTAAATATTGCAACTGTTTCATTAGATCAAAATATGAAGTCTCTGGTTTTTTTTTTTCTCCTAGCGTTCGATGGAAGATCCTTCTGCAGTTTCAGTGTCGAAACAGACTCCTGCTGACTGGAACGCCCATCCAGAACACAATGGCTGAGGTGTGTGTGTGTGTGTGTGTGTGTGTGTGTGTGTGTG